CTCATTCTGACGGCACCCATTCACTGCAGAGCATCCATTGCTGAGACACTGATGCAATGCTGCATTTCTCCAAATCTGATGAATGAATTGAGTATTACATGTGGAAATCTCGTGAAAACTTTAACTGCTTTTTTAGTATAACAGCCACCAAGATGAACTAATGGTGAAAAGTGTTGATTGCAGCATGATATTTAGATCTACTCCTGTTGCATCACAGTCGTGTCTACTGAGCTTGCTGTACATGAAATAATCACAATATAGAGAACAGCTGGTTTTCACACTACTAACAGGAACAGTGTGACTAATGCATTAACAGCAGTAAAGCACGTCTGTACATGAGCGCTTACATATTACCAGCCCATCACAGCTCATGATATGCTGTTTCAGATTTTTATATTATGTTTCTCAGGCTTAGTTTATAAAGTTTGCGATATGTGGGGGCGTGTTAGAACGAGCCGTTTTAGGTAGGCGTGGTTAACTCTTAACTTTTATAAAGAATATCTCTTTGGATTTGAGACTTTAGTCTTTGCAACTTTACAGATCTTCTTTATGCACCAAGAGCTTGTAACACTCCAAAGAGAAAGGAAAACTTGAAATCGCATCATATAACCCCTTTAATCAAGCATCATATTATAGTTCGTTTGACAACAAATATGTAAACAGCAGCTCTCGTATTGAACAGCAAAAAGCACAAACTAGCAAGCAATGCATTTGTCTCCAAATTAGGGATGGGCGATATCTTATCGTTTGCGATATACCGGTAAAAATTCTCCCCACAATAAGAATTAGTCTTCCCGATAAAGTCTAGTTGTTGACATATTTATGTGTGCGACGGAAGGCGGACGTGAAATTGAGGAGTAGCCTATATTGCTAAATGAGGAGCTCGAGCTCCTTTTACAATCTGTAACTGGTTTGGTCAGGGCTGTACAGTGCACAAAAAATCGCTCTGAATTAAAGTACTACAGTAGCATGTGTGCGATACAGTTTTGCATGTGTATGAGACTGTTTACAAACCTGTTGTCCAACAAAGATATAATTTATTGACATGCTTTTTCTCCAAATTAACTTAATAACATAGTCGAGTGTTTGAAATACGTATTTTTGTGACCAGACGTAGTTTCATATTACAGAATGATAGTATTATATACAGTGATAAAGGCCATGTCGATTAACATTGCCTTATAAATATACTTTCGCCAATCCCCAAGATTGAAGAACACAGATAAACCATATATTTTGTGCATTCGTATGTTTATTTTCCTCAAGTTTCATCAGTTAAAATGTCTCTATCGCCGTTGTGCATTTTATTCAGCGATAACCGGATACCTTCCTGGAGCGTCGTCAGTAGTATTACTTCTGCTATGGATATGTGGAGTTTCTGTGCAAGAGTGCCCTCCGGTTTCCAGGGTGAATTAAACAGTCTTTACATTACTTGTGTACCAAGCGGCAACCTCCCGCTCTCTCTCGTGAAACCAACACGGAAGTGACTTAAACTATAATTCATCAACTGGCCGCTAGAGGCTGGCTCCAAAAGGGAGTCAGTCCCATAGACTCCCCATGTTAAAATGACTAAC